CACCCAGGCGTCGAAGTCCGCAAACTTCCGGTATCCACGAATTCTGCGGAGCGCGATGGTCTTGACAAAACGGTGGAGCACAGAGTCCTGGGAAATGTTATATAGGGACTCGCAACCGTGCTCGCAGAGCTCAAAGTTGATCTCCTCAAAAAGAAGAGGCGTTGCAAGCTCGCTCAGGCTTCTGCAGGTCTGCCTGACCTGCTTCCATTCCCACACATTGACGTATTCTAGAACTGCGAATAAAAGCTCCGTTGGAAGATCAAGAAGTAACATTGCGCTGCAGCGTGTTGTGGGAAATAAGAGCGCGAACCAGCGCTTTGGAAGTAGAAGTGCGGGGTACTAGTCCGTGCGCGTGTTGAGAGTAAGATCCTAAACGAGAGTGGGATACAGCTGTAACTTGTCAAGGGCTCTAGAAGGTTGGTTTTCGCGGAAGAGACAACAAAGGTATGAACAAGAGGGTTCTCAACAACTAATGTATTGTACTCGTAACTTAGGTTGAACACATCGAACCATAAGGGCTCGATGCCTATTACTATATACTAAGGAGTGTGGCTTGCTCATCATTGAGCACTATACTGCTCAATACTGAGCATCGCTGATTGGTTTTCCTTCTTTGTCGTGATTGGCTGTCCTTGCTCGGTACTGAGCACTGTGGGTCCTGCTCGATGCTGAGCGCTTGCTCATCACTGAGCAGTCACGTGACTGCGGCGTGGTTGGAAGGATTGCGGCACGGCGTTTTAGGTTTAATCCTCCAAACTGCTGACAGTCGCTGGGCGTGATCACCTTGGATGCCATCGAGGTATTCTTCTATGTGCGTCTTTTCCTGAGATCGTATGTAACAGCGCGCACCAAGACTAAATTTACGAAGGTTCCGTTCGGTGTCCGTGAGTGAACCGTACTTAGGGTAAGCATATCCCAAGCGCAACTGTCAGCGCAACCCCAAGTTAGCACGGGCCATGTCCACGAACACCAACTCCCTCCTCTATGCTATCTGATAACTCACGCTACATGGATCGTACGATGATAAAACATAGTGCATTGAACGTGCGCGAGTCTCCCGCATCTAAGACGGAAGTTGCATCTATTCTGAATATTGTTCGGACGGTATTTGCTACTGCGAGCTGGTGGGTAGGTGGGCAGGGGTAAAACGCGCTATCCGACCATTGTTCACAAGGGACCATAGTTCGGTTTGGCATATTGTGTAGGGTCTAGCTCTTTCGCTTTCTGCACCCTTCCACCCCTTATTGAAAGACATCTCTTGTTTATAACAAAGCGTTAGTCTGTAACTAGCCCAAATCAGCTAAAGGTCTACATAGCGGTGGTTCGACAGGAGGGTCCGTACCAGAGGCGGAGCTCCTCTCAGCCTGCTCTTTTACCCTATCCAACTCCTTCGCCACAACAAGATCGTGATGAGCATAGGATTGCTCTTGTATCTCAGCCTCTAGAAGTTCTACATTGCTCTGCGCAAGCCGCGCCTTCAGATGAGCGATCTCTAGACGCTTGCGGCGCTTCTTCTGCTCAACTTTCTCCCACTCTTCTTCGGAAACAAAAATACTACACTCCGCGTCCATAGTAATACAACTAGCGCACTGTCCAGTCGCTTCATCAAGAAAACAGCGAAGGCCCTTCTCTTTACAATAGTCACACTTGGTGACCATCTCTAGACCAGCGTACTCTACCTTTTTCGCACGAGCTTGACGCTCCTCAGCCTGCTCTTTTGCACACTCTTGAATAGATGAGGTGGAATCATCTTTTTCAGCGTCCACATGCTTGAGAGCCTCAATTTTAGCCACTTCTAATTGACGACGAGCAACTTCAGCCTCAGCTCGCAGAAGAGCTAAGCGTCTCTCGCGCATATACGCTGAAAGTTTGTCCCGCTCCTCCAGCAAACTACACTCAGCTTTCACAGAAATACAAACGGCACAACAGCCAGTTGCAGTATCTACGAAACAACGAAGATTCTTCCCCTCACAACGCTTACAGCGAAAAGTCATCTCGTTCCCCTGCTGTCGGATACAGTGAGCACGAGCTTAACGGTGCTCAGTCAAATTCTGGGTATGAACACGGCGAGAATTTGGAGCCTTGGGCATGATTAGGAAGGCCTGAAGGGAAAAGAGGCTACAACACAACGGGCATACTGAAACCTTACATACAGCCGACGCCTTACAATCTGGTATCGGAAAACGATATTCTAGGGTATTGAGACAATACGTCTAAGAGGTAGGATGATGTTATGAGTAGCAAGAAGGATTCTCTCATTGATGTGGGGATGAGGGTTGGAGGCTAACTAAAGTCAACGTCAGAAGGTATCTCTGCGGGGTAGCGATCACGTGACTAGTGACATCCCGCCAAGAGGGGGCCTTCAAGAGGCCAGTAGAGCGAGGGAAGGCCATTGTCCTCCCAAACCTCCCACTAAGATAAGAGGCTAGAGTACAACTTAAATCAGCCTGTCATATACCCAGACTGTGAGGGTCGGCTCAACAAGTGTATTCGACAAAGTTTGGTATAGGGGCTAAGTGCTCAAGGCCAAAAGCAACAGTCTGGCTATATTGATTCATTGGATTTCTTCTAACTAATGCATAAAAATTAAGCACTAGTTAGGGTTCTAGCTACAAAAACTGCTCTATGTTCGGCCAGTAGCTAGTTTCTCAATGATATTTGCGCTTTTTGTACCATCCGTGTCCATACCCATAACTGCCGTGTGATCTCAGCACACTCGATTCCTGACACAACTAGCTTCCTACAAAGCCACATTGTCACATCCTCGTCGTGCATCTCTCTATACTCTTCGTCGCCCTCTTCTTCGATCGTGGTATACAGATCTAGCGCGTATATGTTGTCGCTGCATTGGAAGAGTCCAACGACAGTGTTGTATACTAAGCGTCCATATTGACACTTTTGTGACGGTCGCATCTGCCAGTGGCCGTCACTCGATTTTGTCCACTGATCACAGAACTCTCGAGGGACACCACATCCCGCACAACCACCCTGCGCTTTAAACCCCTCTGCAAAGATTGCCTCGCCCATGCGGATTGATCGCTGCCTCGCTCCACCTCGTTTGCAGTCACGTAAGCTATGCTTGATCTGCGTTCCATCGAGCCCACGTCCTGCACAAAACCCACATTTTCTAACCCACCAATCTAGTGCATTTCGCCAGCCCTGCAACTCCTCCTCGTCATCCCAGCCGTTTTCGCATAGAGATGGGAATTCTTCAGCTACATAGAAATTCTTTTCCACTAAGGAATTCGACTTTCTATACTCAAAAGCACGTATAAGGAGTTCAAACACAAAAAGAAGTCTGTAAATCTTTGTACCATCGAAATCAATAATTCGCTCAAACCAATATGCCATATGGTTTTCCGCCATAATTTCGACTCTTTCCTTATCGCGAAGCCGCTGCGATATAAATTTTCCGAGGATCTGGTCGTCATACGCGCAAAGTGCTGCTATGGTCCTTTTCACCAAAGGCTTATTTTCACATTCACCATCCCCATATGGCGATGTGTTCAGACGGTTTCTCCAAAAACGTTGAACTTCCTCGTGCTCTGTCTCATGCATTCTCATCATTGCTTTGATGTCTCCACATATAGAATCTGTCTGGGAGCACATAGTGCAATCTCCAGAGCTAGCTGTGAACCGTGGAAGCTTCAGGCCTTGGAGCCAGTTGAAGATTCGTCGAGCCTTTTCAGAATCATCCCATCGATCACAACATTCCAGTTTGTGATCTGGTTCTGGTTTCCCACTCTTCACATAGCACAGCTGACAACCAACATTCTTCCATCGCTGGAATTTTTCACTCAGAGCCTGTAGCTGGCGACGTGAATTCCACTCGTGGTCAAAGTCTATTTCGCCGCTATTGACATGTGCCGAGATCAATTTTCTCTCCTCAATGACACTGTCACGCTCAAATGGACTTGGGCGCCCAAAGATGGGCAAGGACCCTGGCCAGAGGTTCTTGGGGGCACTGTTATAAAAGGCAGATTCAATACCTGTTGCCCATGGACCGTTGCCTACTCTACGACTTTCATGCATAAGTGTAACATGGCTGTCCCCCACGAGCGGACATTCCATTTCACCTTGAGTGATAGAAGTAGTATGGGGCCGTTTCGGAGTCCCTTGGTCAATAGATGACGGCAATGCTCTCTTCTGAGCTTTTGTTATCTCAGGACGGGTGTTGTCAGTTGCAGGTTGCAGCTGCAAGAACTTATGCCACTCGTTTGACGCCCATTCACAAACTCGCAGTAGCGCAGGTTGAAGCGAGTCTGGAAATGCTCCATCTATGCCATATGTTGTGCCTCTTTGTAACGGTCGATGCCCACTTTGCCATGCAAACACCACATTGATATCAGCTTCTGTGCTCCGATCGTCATGCTGATTAAAAGGTTTCGAGATTTGTCGAACGTGTTTCTCTGTAATAGCGATCGATACCTGCCGATATATCTTGACACTTAGTGGGTGACCTAGCGTAAGCGTAGTTTGGCGCATGAGTATTTTCGTGAGTGAGTTGGTCTTTAATGGTCTGCTTGGGGAACTTGGCGAAGAAAAGAGCAAGGTGCTGTTTATATCCATCCCTAGACAAGCTCGATAGAGCATGCACGCAAAGGGCCGTATGAACACAAGGTAATAGTACATAAGTCTGCTCGCCTCTTCTGGAAGAAATCTAACGACGATAAATTCGTGGTTGGTTGCCCGGCGGGATTTACCGTGCCTAAAGATGAGAGCCATCTTACGCGAGTACACACATATACCACGAGAGGTAGAAGGACCATTGCAGTGCTCAAGAGCCGACAGCTCGGTAACTCGTGAGGCTTGCCCCCCTACGAGATAGACCAATAACATCACCAACTCAGTCATTGCGGAGTATTGGTCCAAGTACTGACCAACGGCTTGGCGATTCCAGTCGTTGTCTGTCATCAAGCCGCTAACAGTGTCAAGAGAAGCCCTGCGAGATAAGTCAAGGTACGACTCCGCAAGGCCGTTTGCCGTATCAGTCACGAATGAATAGCCGGCAGTAGTGCAAGCGAGATTATCGTGTATGCAACTCAAATCGAATAGCGGACTCCAGCCATACATTAGTTGTTTGCACAAAAGCGACGCGGCTAGCAGGGTATCGTGGCTAATCTGCCGGGATTGTGCCATAGACAGCTGCGCGTTGTCCCAGGAAACGACTTGCCCATCCTCGCTCCAGGTCACAAGAAACGACGGACCGTCAGAACGACTAATGACACGCCCATAATCGCGTAGGCTGAGGAGCTCGTTCATTGGTGCTGGCGATCCTAGGCACAAAGTCTTTTTGCGAACCTCGTTAAGGAGATCAGTCTGCCCGTGTCGTGGCCTGGCTGTCCACCCCAAGCGGACATGAGCGACTCGAGGAAGAGTAGCTTTAAGAATGATCATTCTCACACAGTATATCATGGCTGACAACTTTGATGTATAGCTTTTCGCGCGTTCAAAAGTGGATCCATCGTGGCTAATCCCTAGAACGCCGCTAGCATAGATTAGCAAGGTAGAGGATGGCTTCCCGTCTTCATATTCCTCGGTCGACAGGAACTTCACAAAGCAGAAAATCACATGTTCTAGCACGATAGTCCACTCTTCTTTTGTCGTATCTTCTTGAGCTCTAGGATTGCCTTCGTTATCAGAATCAACTGGGATGGAGGCTGTGTCTTCGACTGCAGGTTGCTTTGTGCGCCTCGAACGAAGCAGGCGCCCTTCGCCTTTCTGGTTTGAATCCACGCATTCTAGCGGAGCCTGAACGGCTCTTTCAATATCATCCCCGTCCAACTCTTCAACACTGTCATCTGTGATGGTTGATGCAATCTCGTCAAAGTCATCGTCCGACAACCATCCAAGGTCGCCTGGAGTAGCGGGCTCTGACTCGGGTGGATAGAGTTGCGACTCTTTTCCTTGGACTTCGGGCATCCTTACCCATATCTCATCATGCCACAGCTGCTTCAGTGCCTGATCTTGTGCATCTGTCAAAGATCTCCGTAGGAGATTTTGTCTTACAGGCTCACCTAATCTCCAGAAGCGCACGCAAAAGCACACAGCCTTCTTGAAGAGCCTTCTGTATCCTTGAGTGGTTGCCTTGCGACCGACTAGCTCAAAAGGCGCTTTATAGGTACGGTCCGGGTACGAGCTGCGGAGCAAACAGCGAATGGAGACGTCAGTGTGGCGGACAGTGTCTTCACAGCGATCAAAGACGCGATCCAGAGTAGTGACTATATGGCGAAGTTTGAGTTCATCTTCTTTGCTGCTAGATATGGCCGTTCCGTCATGGATTTCAATTTCCAGGTTCTCCCCGGTACCACACGGGATCTGGGCAAGCTGCACAAGAAGTTTCCGATCGGCGCCAACAAAGGTCTCGGCCCACTGAGTGCGCCGCATCCAGTTTGTGTTGAGAGCCATGTCAGGGCTGCTGGTATCGATGCTTGATCCTTTTAACTGACCCCTGCTGCGTACGAGCTCGTCACGATGTAGCTGTTCGAGGCGCTGCATGCGTGGCACAGATTGCTGTAGCAGGCTATTATCAAAAGAGCTGCTAATCGGCACTGAGCGATCCTCTTCTGTTACGATCCAGTATCCGTACGCTCCGTTTCGGTCCCAGCTTTGGAGCATAAGACTATTAACTACATGCTCGCCACGCCATGTCGTTGTCTTCCGCTTTATGCCATGTTCCTTCGAGAGGTGGCGGCTTAGAACTTCAGTGCTTGTTGTTTTGAGTTCGCAGTGCTTGCGCTTGACCCCGAGATGCTTGGAGAGATGAGGGTGAGGGGGAGAATGATCCGGTCGCAGCCTCAGCTCCTTCGGCCCCAGAATGGTATATGGTCTCAGCTGTCGGGACGCCTCTTTTGCCAAAGCCTTTGGGAGTTTGTGTTTCTCTACCACATGGTCCGCTAAAGAATTGATCCCATTTAGAGCAAATTGGCATGTACGACAGATAATGGTGGGCTCTGGCTCATTGACATGGAGGTTCAGCCGCTCAAGGAGATCTCTTACGGATGGCGCAGGGAAGGTTGCGTGATCAGCCATTGTAGCTCGGCGTGAAGGCAGACACACAGGCAGTATAATCTTTAGCGACAAGTGGTTTGGGATGATGTATGCGCTGTTAAACTATGCGGTCGTTTATCTGCGTTGAGGATATCAATGCGTGAGATTACCTCAGGGGGTGGCCCGAGCAGTGTCAGATTTCCTGACAGGGTTTAGCTTTAGAACAGGAGGATGTTCTAAACCCGATAGTTACCTCGAGAGAGTAACAGCCAGGAATGGGAGCTCACTGGAAGAGGGCAACAGTTGCCTTCGTTTGAAAGCCGCCTTCCCTTACCCACTTAATCTCGATATAGATAGCAAGTTGAACTACATTTCTATTCTATACACTTCTTAGACTTGTATATATCATTCTGGGTTTTGTTGTAGATATCTGTAGTTATAGTGCTTTCCTAAGAAGTGCACGCAGTAGACGTAACCCTAACTTGGGGTTAAGTTGGGGTTAAGCCCGCAGCGCAACCCTAAGCGCAACCCTAGACGTAACCCTAAGTCAGCATGGGCCACAGCTACGAACACCAACCCTCCAGCATACGCTGTATCGAATAACTTGCGCCATCTATATCGGAGCACGGCAAGAAGCAGCTTGTTCGATGCGCATGACTTTCTTGCATTAGTGACACAAGTTGCACGAGTTTCTAGCATGATTCTGGTTCTTCTCAACGCTCCTAGAATTCTGCTGAGCACTAACGCTAAACCTAATAGAGTTTAGTTTTGGAATGGGGGAGCATTCCAGAACGGAATACCTGAGTAAGTTAGGGTTAGCTACCCCTGCAACCCTAAGCGAGCTAAGAACATCAACACCAAAGTCATAGTTGGTTAGCTATTACTGACTCAATCCTACTGCAAAAGGGTTGAAATTTGAATATGCAATACATTTATACCCTATACACGTCTGGTATCAATTGCATCAACCTTCGACTTTGTTAAGAGCAAACGAAGGGACTCGACTGGTCTGTGCGCTCCTCCGCAATTTGCAGTAGTTAAATTCAAACGAAGGGACTCCCTTCGTTCGTATTATAAAGTGAGGGCTCACGGCCTACACGCTTTCATAGCACTTACCCTATCAAGTAACTCTTAGTTACTGCGATTGAATCCCTAGCATATTTGTTAATTCCCAGCTGATCTGCTAATTCCCAGCTGATCTGTTAATTCCCAGCACGTTTAATCCCCAGTGGGAATTAACTGTCCTAATATCTATAACTAGCATAGGAAGTGTAAAATTATACTAGCATTAGTAGCCCATTCGGCTCGGCCGCTGGACGTAAATAAACTGTGTGTGTGACACATTCGTTACATATGTACTGCTCTCCGTAATTGCCTATCATATCGCTTATAAAAGCTGACCTGATCTTTAGGTGAGCCTGATTGTGATTATGGAAGGTGATTACTGTATCGCAGGAAGCGGGGTTGCCTATTCTTGGCTACGCACTAGGTAGTATGACCACCACATAATTCTGCTGAAGTTGTGCGGGGAAAAGTGGGGTATGCCCTTATCCCTGCTCGCACCTGGTCAATGCGCCTCAACACGAAGTTCTAAATGAAAGAGCTGGAACTTGTAGAAAAAAGCTAACGTCAATTTTTTGCAAACATAATATCATCAAATGGGGCCTACTACGACCGGAGCTCGAGAGCCGTCGCCACAGGTCTGTTTAGACATCGCGATTGATCACAGAATTCTTGCAACATTGAAGCCACTACATGCACCAAGAAAATGTTCAAGTAGCAGACATTTACGAATGATACAAGAGTTAGGTTATAGCTTACGACGTGGCGGACAGGCTATCCCTCGTGATGAGATAGCCACAGCAGCGTACTTGGCAAGACCTGACACGAAAGGTGGTATCTGCTTCATCCTGCAACAGCCAGCCGACCACCATCCGTACAACCTAGGTGCGGACTCAGTCATAGAGTCATCACCTACACTTCGAGCCCTTCTCATAGAAATCTGGCCAATCGTCTCATGTGGCGCACCCAGCCCTACTGTCTTGGATAGATTACCGTTTGTCAGATCTTACGAGGAGCCTGATCTTGATGTCAGGCATTACATCCAAGAGCGAACCTTTGCGATGATTGAGGCGAAATGCCCGGATGTTGTTGTATGCATGTGGCGCTACAAGCGGGGAAACGGTATAGCGCAAGAGGACAGAACGGGGAATGTAGCTGCTGTAGAAGGTCTTGGGGTCGGTCAAGTGTTTGGACGCCCCACTCATGTAATGGCATCAGGCCATAGAATCGTGCGCGTTAACGCCTTCCATCCAAGTTTCGCTATGAATTATAACCCCGATCTAAGCTGCCTGAGGCAGTTACTTATCCTGGAAGTAGCGCAAGCGTGCGGTCTGTATCGTGGAGACTGGCTGAACAAGAGGTGGATGGATGAGTTGCGAGAGCGTTGCAAAAGCATCACCCGAGAAAGATCAAGAGCTCAAGAGATGTAAGCATATCACCACTGTATATTGTGCGCTACTGAGATACCGCTTAGGGACGTGCCTCAGCTCGCCATTGAGTACAAACGAAATTTGGAGTCGACCGCAGCTTTTGTTGAACCACAGATCGAAACCTCACACGACCATGACCCTGCGATTCGATATCGGTACCTTGTTGGAAAGAACATTACAGAATCATTGAACAATGCAAGTCTCTGCATAAGGGCCATACATTGTATGGGGGAAAGTATTGATCCTGATGACATAGACAAGACCAGTTCGGAAGCCATTGAAAATTCAAGTAGATACACTATAGGCTTCGTTCATCGGCTGGTTAAAGTTCTCCTAATTGGTTCAGAACCGGATCGAAACACCAGTATAGGTTGTATCGGTCTGTATGATGCATCCGTTATCGATGCTGGCCTTAGAGCGAGACGACAAAATTACGATGTTACAGCTGCGAAAATACACAAAATTTTAGGCGAGCTGTGTCGGCGAATGAACTCCTCTTTTACTGTAGGGGAAGTATACCCTAAACGAACTTTTCGTTTTACGTTATACGAATGGAGCAAGATTTTGCTTTCGACAGCTATTGATTTCGAAAAGCTACTGAGCGAACTTGCGCCTCTTTCCAAGAATGGATTTCAAAGCGATATGGATGGGATTACAAATTTTTTCGATACATTGTGTCTAGATAGGACATAACTAGCTAGTTTTCCAGTGTATTTGGATGCGTAGCCTATCTATAGTGTATGACAGAGCAAGGGTCGACCATGATTCTTGTTTTGCAATTGTCAAACAGGGTACGGTAGAGCTCCTGTACTCTAAACTCAAATGTGGGTTCGGTTGTCGTTAGAGACCGTTTTTATCGCTAGTGGTCGAAAGTCATTGGCTATCTGGCTATGTAACAAGGTGTATGGAACTGTGAGAATTTCGCTGTAAATACTAACCTGCAATAGAGTCGAAGTGCTGCTTGCATGCCAGGTTAAAGAGCATCGCATATGCCTTGTCATGCGGGGGAGGCCTTCGCCACAGTCCTGGCGCATATATGTATGACGTGGAGGCGCGGATGTAGGTGCAGTAACAGCCCACTAACTTGCACGCACAATGCTACCTTTATATTATACTTGAAAAAAGCACCTTCTTTACCAAATACGATGACGGGAAGGCCTAAATAAACCTAGTCTACACGTAGAGAGCTGTTTAGCGTCGTCTGTTGCCACCCAACACGTAACGCAAAATCGTTACGTATATACTTATCGCACGAACTTCCTTATAAAAGGCTGAGATTCTCCTACAGTGCCGCTTAGATGTATACTTCCACAATTAGTCAGTATTAGTAGGGTAGTAACTATTGCGCATGGCAAACTAGTCCGCATCGGCAGATTACGATACATTCGAGCCATAACATCCTAAACAGTTATTAGTTAGAGTTAATACTCATCGCAGCGAAACCAGCTAACATGTGGTTGTTCCAACGCTACTATTAGAGAGAACATTTAGTAGTTTAAATGAGCAAACTATAAAACTTGTTTCTCGACTTTACTAGCCGAACTAGCAGTAATATCAGCCTTTTTCAATACGAACAGGTGCTTGATAAATTCGATTGCTTCTTGCTACGCAAAGCGTGCGAATAGGGCAGCATTATCCTATGTCAGCCTAGTACGTGGCTTTTGTTCTAATACACGTAGCGCGCACTGACTCTCTCCACTACAAAGGCTTAGACGATAATTGAGTTGATCGTGAACGATCAGTATGAGTAACTGTCCTGATTGGCGAGGAGTTTGATCTGGACGATCAGTGCGGTCATGGCGCTGCTGTGCCTGTCGGCGTAAGCAGTTTCGCTTATTCGTAACACAGAATACCTCACATTGACATTCTCATCTCTCCAAAATCTGATTCCTTGGTGAAGTACTCTAGAGTAAAGGAGAGTAAACGCGACACGCGTACGCGTGTAGGTGCGCACGTGCATGTAATATAGAGTAAAGGGGCTCAGATTCACGTAGCATCATATTGGTTAGGCTGTCCAGCAGACTGATGACCACACACGATAACTCACCGAAACCAGTAAAGATTAACTCTAGAGCAAGAGCGGTTTTTAGTGGAGTCGACAAGATTCGCAGTAAATTCAGACAAAGGGACTCCTTTCGTTCGTATTATAGAGTGAGGGTTAAGTTCTCTAATAAAATGTTAAGTATTCGTGTTGTAGTGCATGTTCTACGAATGGTTGCCGTTCATGTCAAATCCTCATCATTGGGATCTGTCGTGTGAAATCCGTCGCATGATACGCAAGAGAAAGCCGGGTATATATTGACCACTGGTGTGTGATGTATCGGGTTCCCGGTTTTCTTCCTACACTTAGGACACACCGGCTTGCCCGTTTTACTGACAGATGTTATATTCGGGCAATCGCGCGATCCGGTATGACTGTAATGGCAATGATCACAAACGAAATGATGCTCGGAGACCCCTTCTACCTTAGGTCCATGTCGCCCACCTAGCAGAAGGTCTGTTGCCAGGTCTGCGTTTGAACGTAGGACATCGAGTACCCTCTCCTCTCGTAGGGTTGCTTTTAACATCCAATGGCGACCCGCAACGGCAGAGATGACCGAGTTCCTTAGCTCCACATGAGCTGGTGGTACAGTTGTCGTATAGTCGTAGACAAAGGCAGCAATTACGGCCCAGTCGCTGGGATTGACAGTCATGACCGTGTTTGCAAATGACGTTTTTGCAAGCTTGCAAAGAGATGCACAGTCGTATTTGTCGGCGATTATAGTAACTTGTGCATGAAGGAGAGGTTCTAGAGTGTCGAATTTAGAGACATTGTAGCCTGCCTCGTAGATGTATGACACCATGCAGTCAATTGCATTCGTGTATACTGGATCGTCTTGCAAAGTAATTGCTTCACTGCTTGTCTCCTATTACACAGATTAGGCCTTGAAAATACTTCGTTCACAATGTCCTACCACCAAGCCGCCGGTGAGAGCCTTTTGAAACCATTTGGAGTGACAGACCACAAGAGCTTTGTGAATCCGCCAGCTCTTGTCGCTAAAGTTCAGGGTCAGATCCGATAGATCACCAGATGTCAAATACGAGAGGTCGCGAACATAATTTTCATAAGCCATAGCTGCCCAAGTTTGTGACTGCCAGCTTATCAATAAATAAGGTTTACGAGCGGTTCAGACCCCGCTCGCAACGCGCCATATTCTTGAACGATGACGTACGGTATCGCTACCTGAAACTTGTTCAAATTTCAGAAAATCGGCCGTGCACGCGTCACGCGTCAACCCCCCTCTGCCTAACTGTCTTTTCTAGCCTCCTCGTATCCTCATCCTACCAGACAGAAGTAGGCTTCAATGTTTCCTTTTTTCCCCATTTCTACGCTCCAAACGCAACTACTAATGCAAGACAAGAATAGTGCTTGTCAGTAGAGTTGGCTTTACTGCGCATCCTGCTGCCAGGAGTATGCAATATTGTGTGGATTCACGCTAGACCCAAAGCACGTAGAGTAGAGGGTGGTGCCACACTACAAGTAGACTATGTTAAGCCCTAGGCGCAACTCTTAGTGGGCACAAGCCACACCCACGAACACCAACTCTCTGCTAGACTTTATCTAATAACTTACGCTACATCTCTTGTAGCATCGTGAAAGTTAGTGCGTTAGATGCGCGCGAATTACCTGTAACATATACTCAAGTTGCGGCTACTTTCTATGACTGAGGACTAAGGAGAGGAGTTTGTTCCAAATCTTAGGGAATAACCCCCCTGCGAACCAAGAGCGCGGGCCACAAAAATGGAACAAAGGCTTGTTTTCTATGGAATAACTGTCAGAGTTTAGTTTTGGAATTGGGAACCCACTCCAGAACAGAATACCTGGGTGAGATTAATAGTTATGTTTTATACCCATATTGTCACCAAGCCCCTCTAGTGGTTAGATACAATAAGAACAACAAATTATATGTATGAAGACCGTCCGAAGCCGTATAATGTCGAACGTTAAAGCTGAATATTTGGATTAGTTTTGAAACGAAACTTCGCTGTTATCCCTGAAGTCTTGCAATTTTAATCCTCTCACTTTAGCCATGGTAGCCTGGACCACTTCATCAATCTTGGCATTTAGACTGCACAAGTGAACCTCAGCCCTATCGTGTTCGTGTCTTCTGTAGTAGTCGTAACAGTCGCTTTTGACCCACCATTTCGTATTCTTTGCCATTCCACTCCTATTGCAAATTTCATTGAGGCTGATTCCCATAAAAGGATTCTCTGGCCGGGGCGAGAGACAACCCCATCTTTCCATATATTTCATTAACGCGCCAAAGAGAAAAGCTCCACATTGAAAAGAGTAAGACGGATTATGGGGGCAGGAATAGTTGAAGTCTCGATAGACCCCAAGTAAACGGTGCAGCTCAGAGATAACGTGCTCAAGGGCATTGCATCGACTGCGGTCAATACTAGCTGATCCGAGTTAGCAATTGGAACCTGGATCGAGGCGGGTCAAGACTATACATGTAATCCCCTGGTGAATCGGCAAATCTAGGGCTTGAATCCAGCCCTTACTCTCTTTGATCGCCACAGCTGTCGCTTTCTCGAATTCTTCGCTCATGCAGAAGACTCGAGAGATGCAGATCCACAACATAAGGTTGCGGCAATAAGAAGATGGAATCGCGACATTACGCCTCACACTAGCAATCCAGTTCTGGGTATCACGCTCGATAGCCTCTGCATTTTCGAGCTCGTAGTAATCGACAAGAACTGCGATCTTTGCGAGCATCTCCAAGCTTACAGTAGCCGGAACTTGGCGTGTTCGGACGTGGAAAATGTTGAGAAGAATGAGGAGAGCTTCTTCGTCCCAATCGTTGGCTTGGATGTGGTACCGTCCGTCTGATGGATTTTTCAAAGATTCAACGAACTCTTCCCTTGTTAATGTGCGCCTAAACCATGGTGAAGCTAGCATCAAGTGGCGGGATGAGACGAGATAGTGAATCTCATCATCTTCCGACTGGGTCGGCCCTGAGGCGGGCTCGGCTAGTTCGACGCTTGGGTTGTCTACCCCACCCACCACTCTTGTTGCTAATTCCCGATCGTGAACAAGACCTTGCTCTTCAGACGATGCTTCACTGGAAAGCTCAGCGTGCTCGCCACTGCCCTCTGGAACGTTTGAGACAGTGCTATTGTGGGAAGCTCTACCGCGCATCCGGGCTTTCTTCTCTTTCTTTGACAGCTTCTTGCCCGTCTGATCATCCTCGAACGTCTGAGTATGTATGGGATGTTTCTCTTCCGACTCAGGAAACTCAATTTGAGAGGATACAAGCGTCTCGTCCCACGGGGCGAAGTTTTTGCAAGGATTTTTAAGGATAATAATTGTATCTGCAAACGGATCAACCTCATGTGTAATCAATGACATGACAGTGATTAGTTGATGTGATAGTGTGCATGACATGTAGGTATATGTTGTATGGCATCTAATCAGGCTGTGCGTTGGCGCACTCCCGGAGCAGCTCGGCTGCTTATTCTACGCCTTGGTAGGTGGCTTGCAGCAGGAAATGTCATCATTCCGGGATCTTGACCACGATTGGACAAACGTGTTTCACCGGTTTGCGGGGATCGAGATAAGCTAACGCTACCTTGACTGCTCAGATCCTTGACCATTTGACCTAAGAGGTTTATGCACGTGGCCACCATCATATATTTTCAGATGCAAAAAGGCCAAAGCTTGGCAATTAGTGCGGCTGGCACCAACGGTCTATCAACAGTCTAAACTTATCGTTACCCTCAAAGATCAAACCTGAGCATTGTTGCGTGCCGCTCCAAATAAGAGACTGAGACTTCTCAACACAGTTCTAGTAAATTTTCATCGCGCCTTGCGGTCCATATCGAAGGATCGATTTATTTCCAATTCCACTACTCATCAATGGACAAGATAAATACAATGTCAAAGTCTGAATCCACTGAGAAAACAGAGCCGCACCTTAACCTTCTCACCAAAAAGATTGCTATTGACTGCGAGATGATGCGTTCCAACATCGGTTAGGTCCTCGGCCGTGTTTCTGTCGTCAACTATGACGGCAAAACTATACTTGACAGTTTTGTATACTACCCCGAGCCCGTCCATATCATAGACACCGACGAGAGGTTTTCTGGAATTCGCTGGGCCGATATCAATCCGCAGAATGGCGTTAGTCCTTTTTCCGAAGTTCAGGCTAAACTTGGTGAGCTTCTTCGTGATAGGGTTGTGATCGGCCACGATATTGAAAAAGATTTGAGGGTCCTCACTTTGGATTTGGCTGCTCGCGTCTTGCAGCTTCAAGGCGTTGCTCGTTCAGCCACCTGTCTCAAGTTCGACATGTCAGTCCGCGATACACAAAAGTATAGTGGGTACCGCAAATACGCCAACCCCGGTGCCCACCAAGGCCCTAATCTCAAGAATCTAGCGCTAAGGGTTCTAGGCCGCTCAATCAAGCAGGGCCCTGTGTCGAATATAGAAGATGCTGTTGCCACTATGGAGACATATCGCAAGGCTGAGGTGGAAATTGATTGGGAACAAGAGCAGTAGGATTTTGGCTCCTGAAAAACCTACGGAATAGGCTTGCACGTGCAATATGATCTATACAAAACTTCCAATGATGTATTTAAGCATCTGACAGTAGATGAGAGGGGTCTATATTGCTTGTAGCGCAACATAGAAGTAAACTAATTGATGAGTATTATATGATGCTTTTGTAGGTGAAGTCGTGCCTAAAGGTGCTGGTTATATTAAACTTAATCATCAACGCTGAACTTTGAAGACTTTGACTATTCAGGCAACCACATCCTACGGTCTTTACGCATTGGCTTTTGCTCCTATAGATCCATTTTCTTATTGTGGCAATCGAGATATGCTAGACGAGTTACGCAAGAAGACTTGCTAATTAATTAGTTCGAAAGGTTTGCCAACCAAAGTCGACGCAGAGCAGAAGATGAACCCATATCGCAGCTCGCAGCTGGGCAAATATACTAGCCGATGCGATGCGAATTGAGCGGCCGTGCGCAGTTGTCATCTGCAATCTTGTGAGTCATAACAGCTAACACGCTGCTCCATTTAGGGAGACTTGCGAGACGTAAGGTTCGTAACTCCTAGCCTTCGTTATTATCTATAAATGAACCGTCAAGATCACTGACTAATTGAGCTTAGAGATGACAGAGGACTGCACGTCCACGTCATTGATACTGAATAGCGATGCACAAAAGACTCATGTTTGGAGGCGTGATGTTTGATGCAAAGTCTGGATATCCGCACCAGCCACTGCGGCACGGTGCTTAGTTGTATTACTACTGATGGTTGGACTGTCGCAGTACATAATCGCATCATCCACAACATAAGTACTGCATTTTCGAGCAGTAGCTAACTTATATGATGCTTTGCGGGCTTGCACATTGTCTAAACAACACACATGCTGTATTATCAGCGATGATCAAGCTATGCATCAACATATGTATGCATGTGAGATTCTGTCGTGTAACTGTGACTCGCCAGCCCTCCAGTCACATCACTACACGTTTCCAATCGGAGCGCTGATGTCCCTCCCAAATATTTCTTTAAAACATCAGTAGATTATGCGGAAAAAGTGGCGATTAAATAAGTGGCGTGTTTTTAATTCCAGGCTCGCAGCATGCAATCATCATTGGAGCCTAATATTGATAAGACTTCCTGGAAGCAGGCCAGTGTGGGGCGCGCGATCTGATCGTCATTTTGTGCTCGCACTTCAATAAATGCACGCCAACATCTTTACCAAAAGGATATGCTGTAACCTAATACGGTTCCATCACTATGAATTCCCATTCGCAAGCTCACGATGATAATTTGGATAATTTGACACGTCAAAAAGTGTCGTGGCTTCTAAGAGCCAATATCGTCAACCCTTTCATTCAATCCGAGGAGGAACGCCACCCATGGCAAGTCAGTGAAACCCAGAAGCTTGACTTTCCGCTTCTCCGAATTTGGGATGTCAAATCAGGGAGCCATCCCGATAAGGATAACCATATGCTATCGAGATCACCTAGGTTACCTCTTACTACAGAGCAAGCTCGTAAAACATCCCTCGCCATTCATCTCAATCATAGGATCTGGAGGCCAACACCATACATCTCCTTTACAAAATCAGCCAGCGCAATTGAGAATCTCGCAAAATGGAGAAGCATAAAACGAGGAAATCAGACACTCACTGTCATTGACCCCGCCACTCGACTTAAAAACGGTTTACCAATCCTCGACATCGCTGCTGAAATGAAGCATTATGAAATCCCGGATCCTTATAATAAGGGAATGGAATACTACACCGACCATTACGTTTGTTTATGGGAAGTTACCACAGAAGAAATTGTTGGTCACTACGAGTGGGAAGTGCTCGCAAACAATAAGGACTGGTTTGATGATATCATCGCACCAGAATTTCGTAAGTTTAAGAGAGAAAAGAAATCCGAGTCCGCTTCTACTCGTCCATCAGCATTTGATATGTCCACGATTATGGAAAGTCTTTCTGGTCAGTCTTCACCCTTCTGGGGGTATGCACACAGCTAACCATCAAAGCCGCGCGCATATCCATTGACACACGCATCGAGCATCTTGAAGATTCAGATGACTCTTCCGAGCATCACTATCTAGATGACAACTGTACGGACTCCGATGACGATGCCGAGGAGGCGTATCCGAACGACGATATAATCAAGGCAATAGAGGATCTCTAGTAAGGTGGGGTTATTATATCGCTCATGCGGGCCAAGAGCTGGAGAACCACAAGCAGAGGGTGATGCAGCAGATGGACGAAGAGATTGTCGCTTTCATGGAACGTTATCGGTGGGCGTTTGCTGCCGGTGTGCCAATAGGAAAGCTGATAGCATACTTTGAACGCCAGGTTGCAGGCAGGCTGTAGATATGAAGCAAGGCTGCATAGTACGGAGTACTGAATCACCGTTGATGCGCTGAGCTGTGTTTGGTTATTTGCGAACATGACATGTCGCAATACCCGCTTTGCGTTAGCGCTGCAGGGGTTTTCTGCGACAAAGTTCACGAAGTAATTGCTGTCCATGCTATAGCAAACGCAGAGTTACCAAAAAAGATGTCCAAAGAATGAGAGCAATCGATGGCATGAGTAACTCCACAACAGTACAACAATGGCAAAATTCTTGATAAACGGGTGAAATAAAAAGTTAACATTTGATCCTAATCAATCTTTTCTCACCCTGATGAATCCGCATAACACGCTAACAGCTTCTTATTACGGTGTTGTGTGAACAATTAAGTTTACAGCATGTCGAACTTTGCCCAGTGTTCTGCACCGCCCAGCCACTCGCCACCGGTGATGGCATCCATCATAACATCGTCGTTCCAGGAATCAGTCTGCTCTTCTATGCTTTCTCTGTCCCAAGTACCCTTGGCGCTGTCGACGCTGTATCCTCGATGAGTTTCACCACAGGATACTGCCAGTCGCTTTTGTGTTGCATCACGAATTCTTGCTACCCAAAACGGTCCGCCAACTCCATTGCGGTTTGCAAGCAACCGATCGTGGTATTTCTTCCACAAAACTGGCAAATGCAGAATCCGCTCGTCGAACTCATTGATTCTGCCCAAGCCTTCAAACACGAGCATGCTCATGTCAAGATTTGAGTCCCGGGAAATGCACCGGTCAAACCCTGCAAGCCACATGCGGTCGATATCTCTTCGGCGCAGTGCAAGCTCCATCATCTGCACCTCGTGAATGTGATTACGTACGGTGCAAGTCTACAGTCCACTTTTAGTACTTATTTAAGCGCTGTATCAAGTAAAGCAAACCGGATTAGACAATCTGAAAGCGCATTTGCTGAAGAGAATCTTTGCTGTCTTACGTGCATCGAAAAAACCTTTGTCATTGCACCAGCCTCGAGAAGGTTTTTAAGGCAGACGCACTTCTCTCCTTTTGGCGTAAGGCCTCAACGAGATATGGAAGGCTGATTGCGCTGACTGTACGCGTTGGGACAGCGTAAACGATCAGATTCTGAGCAGTTGTAGAGAGGTAGAGGGACGCGGGGTTGTTTGGCAGTCCATCGAAGCTTTGAAGAAGCGTATCAAGTGCGTTCGGGGTTGCAATATGGTGCACTATAATTACTTTAGAAGAAATCACAGCCATGACGTTTTGATTGGTGGGAGATCGCGTGAGAAGTGGACTGGTGAAGTAGCATGGGTAGTGTTTTGAAGCCCGCTTTGGCATTCTTATGCGTGCAAGAATGGCGAATGTCTTGGCACGTGCAAAGGGTTATTATTATAAACTTTGCATGTGGTGCTGAGCAATCTCTTTCTACCGACTGGTTCAGCTTGCTAAAACTATGACCAGCTTTTGGGAACGCTTATAATGCTAGTACAAGTCGGATCGCTACGGCGACTGAAATTTGTGAAGTCCTACTTCGGTATAGCTTCCTATTGTAACTCTGCCTGAACAAACGCAGCGAGTAGTATTTAGCTGAGATTGTTCTCTACAACCGATCGCCCATCTCAAAAGACTCAAACTCGAAAATCAGTCTGGCTGTCTGCAATGAATCAGATTTGCAATACTCCAGTCTTGTCGTCTTTCACTGTTAGTTAGTAGACAGTATGAGCGAATTGCTCTAGTGCCAACTTGGATAAGGTGCACCAAATATTCATACTGTGGTGTAATCAATAATTGCATCTGAAAAAAAAGACGTAACTATCTAATCAAGATGATAAATGTTCAGATTGCCTGTCGGATTTGTTAATCCCTGATATGATCTAGGCGACCTCTTGAACGCACATTGAGATTCTTTTATCTTGCTTTTCATACTCATCTTTTTTTTGTCATTTCGTCGTATAAGATCTGTACATGAACGTTGAATATCTCCTTTGAAAGATTGAGGAATTAGCACTCATTGTTAGTGGCGATGGGGAGGGCTCCTGCAATAGATACACAAAAAATAGCTGGCGTCTTGTCGTACCTTCTACGGCGTTGGAGTCAGAATCACAGCGGCGCAGGCAGCCTGGCAAGTACCAAAGGCGGTATTGCAGGCAATGATACTAGCAGGTGCGGAAGCACCGAGGGTAGCTCCCCAAGTAAAACCAGCTGCAGAGTAACATGCCATGACTATTGCAGAACAACCCGCCTGACACACTCCGTAGGCGGCTGGACCTGCTGAAGCCGGACTAGCGAGAGCAAGAGTGATTATAGCAATGAAGAGAGATAATTCCATGGGGCAGACGTGAAGGCTGTGGTAAACGCCTGAATGTAAACAGATGTGAGAGTGAGTTGAGAAGGTAGTGGACTCCTTAAATTATCACTTTCGGTGAACAAATACCCCAAAAGTAGGTAAATCTTGATCAAGCGGGCACAAATGATGGCATACGCTATTGCATAGCCCTCAATCTACCACCGGCCTGTTCAGGGTCTGCATTTTGCACTAATGCAATGAAGTGTTTTCAATTCCAGTGCCCGCCGTAACCCCACCGGACCGCCTCCGTAACCCCGAATGAATGAAGTCGCTCCTGCCTTCCAACGAAGGGGGCTTATTAAGCTTGCAAACCTTAGGATTGATCAACTACATTGGGTTTTTCTGTAGATGATTTCTTGTACTAAGCTATAGTTATACAGAAGGTGGGACTGTTCAAACTTGTTACGCAGCTACGCGTCAGGGTGAAGCCGTAATTGTTCATGACTATACGCCGCAAAGGTGGAATGAGTCGGATGGTCGCATCGATCATACTCTAGTTTTTGCCGTCATGCTCATGACGTAGGAGTGCATAACACTTGGCCTAGACATTCTACTGGCCCGCATTAGGTGGAATTACCGATTAGAATGGCCATGTAGCCGCCCATCACTTGGCAATACATTACGAAGTCTCGAACGACATTAGCAAATTGCGTACTAGTGACATATAAAACAAGGCAGCTCTTCTATAAAATTGCATGAAAATCATTATGATGAACGAGGATACAGTAGAAGATAAGTACCATGAAGGTTCGAGGCTCCCATTTAGACTTCGCCACGATACTTCCTCTCGTGAGATCTGAACACAGATTGTTACGCTGTCTGATCATACTACAAATCTCCGCTTCATTCGTTAGTCGTATGGCCTACTAGTTTTTGGGGCCGCGCGGCCTCTTGGCTGTCTCTCTTGGCTTTTTGAACCTTATCTTGTGAGCCGCCGACATGATCGTGCCAATAGAACAGTACTAAAGTCCCTCCATCCAGTAAGTGCTGGGATCCTACAGTACGGGCTGGGGCAAATGAGGGGTAACGTTAACTGATATTCGTTCACATTTTCGCCGCACGGCTGGCTTAGCCAATGAATCTCTGAGATTGCGTTAGTGCACTCAGCATCTATTAGTATCGCAGACCATCACTGCATCACTTCAGACAGTTTCGCCAATATGTGTGCTTGACACAATCAATCTGCAAGATTTCAGGGTAAATTCCTTGAGTACTGGTTGCTCTACTGCTAAATTTGAAACTGACTGTGCCGAGTGTCGAACTGTGAGTGATACTAAGCGCTGTCCTTGCCCAGAGATTAAGAGAGGCATAGTGACGTACAGATAGGGATATCGACTTCTCTTACATATATTAAGAACTGCAACTTGTGCTCTTACTGAGCTATCGGCACAGATTTATATCCGAAATGAGTACTTTCAGTCCCACCGACGAACCCAGCTGTCCAAGCTAGTCGATGACTGCATTACCGCTCTAACCTTTCAACTCGAAGAAATAACATACCACAGTGAGACGTCGAATAAAGGCAAATACCCTGCCGACAAGGTTCCAGACCACAACGTCGCCTGTGCTAGTTACTTATCGGAAATCAGAGACCATTTGCAGCTCCTGGAAGATACCAAACTCGCCTACAGCATTGCTAATGATGTCTATACAGATGCTGAACTTATTACTCAGATGGCCCAGCAGGAGGCCCAAGCGCAAGATGACAGAATCTATGCCAGACAAATCAGCACAGATCATCCTCTTGAATATGAAGCGCCTCCACCTTATACAGAGAAGCTACGTCAGGACTTCATAGACGACGAAATTACGTCCCGTTTGGCAGCAATGTTGACAGCAGATGATTCACTTCATGAGGACACTACCTCCGAGGCTAATCCTTCGGTTTCTTCTACCCAATGTCAGGCGAAGGCGCTCAGCCACCTGTCGCGCGAGCAATTTGAGTGTTGTGCTTGCCGAGGTGACTTTCGTTTGGCCTCGGTCAAAAAACTCAAATGTGGTCATCTATACTGTTTGGACTGTATCAAGCGAGTTGTTATGCGCGCGACGGTCGAGCATGATCTTGTGTACATGCCACCAAGGTGCTGTGGTACCCCAATCACTCGATCTCTCATCGTCAGCAGCGTGACGGCCGAAGAGCTAGAAGAATTTGAACTCACAGAAAAAGAAAAAGACACGAGAGAAAAAACATACTGCGCCAATAGCGATTGTAGAAGGTTCGTTGCGCCTACACATATCATATCGGGACAAGCGACGTGTCCTCGCTGTAAGCATAAGACTTGCAGCACATGCAAGAACAATTACCACAAAGACGACTGCCCTGCAGATCTCGACCTCCGAGCGACCTTGGACCTAGGACAAAAAAAGCGCTGGCAAAGGTGCTTCTCATGTCGAGCTCTCGTAGAGATAGATTGGGGCTGTAATCACATGACGTGAACAAAACCCCTTCTTGTGTCATGTACAAAAACTGACTCTATACCAGGTGTCGTTGCGGCGCACAGTTCTGTTATCAATGCGGTATAGAATGGCGTGGTTGTCAATGTACTCTTTGGGAAGAGCAAAATTTATATCGCCGTGCAGAACAAGTTGTGGACAGAGCAGCGGGTGGATACATTCCACCACATCTACGTCAACAACGTCTTAACGAAGTACAAGAAGAACTTCGCGACAATGATGAATGTAATCATTATGGACGGAAGAAGTTCTCGATGATTACTGAAGGCGCCCCCAGGCGGGGGTTTCGTTGTGAGATGTGCAATGCCAGACATCGGAACTTCATCCTTCGATGCAAGAGCTGCCAACTGGATGTCTGTGCCGATTGCCGCCGCAATCGCGTTTGACTCTGTTTCACCTGGTGACCCGAAGCGGATTTTCTGCGGTGTCTTTGATATAGTTAGTTACTTCAAGCTTGTTTCTGCCTAAAAAAATCGACAATGAGCCACGATGACGGTAGCGATTGGAGTATGTACGTAACTATTAACTAACTATATAAATTCCTGGGTTAAGCTTACTTTATTATTATTATTATTATTGTAGATTAACGTCCTTTCTCAGCCGGTAGGCTATATAAGACGTGCAGGTTGAGC